TGCCCAGCGCCCTAACTGCCAGGCCCCCAAAGTTGTACTGGTTTATCAGAAACGGATAACACTCACTAACCAGAATGATAAGGAACGTATCTACGAGACAATGAGGGGATCCAGATTGGAGGCTTGAGTCGAATCAGCCGATCGAAAGAGAGGGGTTAGGGGTGACAAGTGTGATGAGGCCACACTAGAATTGCCACAAAAGGGCACACATTTTGACGAGTGGAATTTAAACAAGTCAGAAGTTGTGATAGGGCGGCAGTGGGATAAGAGAGTAAAGAGTAGATAGATAGGCTAGGACAGAGAGAGGAATAATAGTGTAACCATTTTCAACAGAACGTTTGTCGAGGGATTGATTTGACGAGTTCGTAGCTTGTTGCGGATAATGGCAAAACTCACTACTGATGCCGACTACGATGCCGGCGAAACGTCTGAGAATGTTCCAAGTCCACTGTCTAATGCTGGGAATCATGACAACTACCATGGCAGACGACTTCGGACTAATTGCGTTCTACTAAGTCGCCCTGACAACAAGACCAAGTTGCGACAACGAGGTCAATCCACTAATAGTCATTTTGATGTTTAGCATCGGCCAATTTACAACCAGGTAAGGAAAAAAGGGGGTCAGAATTTAGGCCAGGAGCCCTGCAAATGATATATGGTACCGCTGATGTAGATGATTACGCTTCACTAAACTCACTTGTAGCGACACTCACTTAGGCCACATTGAAGGAAACGAGAGTACAGAATTGTGTTAATAAATGGATCAGCCATATGAAGTATGGCTGAGAGAAAGAGATGCGGCATTAGAGGATAAAACAAAAAATAGGAACGAGGAGTGATGCCTCAACGGTTGAACAGATACTTGCTCAATGGAATTGCCTCCTTGTCACTTATAAGTTATAACTCTGTGTCTACGATTGAGCCTCACTGATGATACCGGCGAAACGTTTGGGAATGTACCCAGCCAAAGGTCCAATGCTGGAAATCACGAATACTATGGCAGAGGACACAAAGCTAGGTACCTTCCAGAAGGTCTCCTTGACGCTCCGATCAAGTTGCGAAATTTATGTCGAGCCAACATCATTATATATGTTTATCTCCTAGTTCATGCAAGTTAGATTGTTTAAAGAATCTGAGAGGAAGACCTCTTTGAACGTACCTAGTCTTGCAACCCCTGTCATAGTATTTATGATAATGTCTACCATTGGACAGCTGACTTTGTGTATTTCCAGTGGGAATGGCAGAGGACGCAGTACTAGTTACTGTTCATAAGATCTCCTTGTCCATTAGACCAAGTTGCAAAAATCAGGTCGAACCGACACTACAGTAAAAGAAGCCTGCAATCCAACCCAAAGCTACATCACTTTAATCTTCCTATCCCTGTCCGCTTAATTTTCCTCATTTTTCTTAAATAATCTATAAGAAATTTAGATAACTTAGCATTTGAAGACCATTCTGTTAGATAGATGAGGTCCACAGTAATCACCTTCGTACTACTTCCTACATCTTCATTTGTATCTATAATCTTATCAAAATTATGACAATATCCTCGTTTCAAATTGTTATGCATATGGTCAGAGGAGAGGGGGAGAGAGTATGTAGTCTCCCCTAGTTTCTCTATTTGTTAAGCTATTGCGGCTCTCAATTAACGAATCTTTTAAAATGGTCCTAACAGATGATTAGTCTTCCATTTGCTCGTATTTATTGACTTAAACTTGGGTTTTTGTCATTACTATTTATAATAATCTGTCGCTATTTTTTCACTTTAAAATAATTCTTCATTTTCTTATTCGTCTTTCTAAACTGACCTTAGTGTATAAGACCATAATTCACCATTAATTTCCTTTTTTTATCATATTTATTTAAATAGTTATTTCTATCAATCAACGTTATATTTATTGAACATTCAAACATCCATATTTTTGTTGTTTGGCGTTTGCATCTGTACATTTTTTGTTTTAGTTCCACATCAGCCTCGGGTTGATTGGCAAATGTGGTTTGCTGCGCTTGGAAAGTACGAAGACCACCCTTGGTTCACAAATCTTATCTACCGCTTGTTATCAAACGAAAAAACTGGTAAATTTTATCGTTAATTGCTATTACCCTATCACATTTTTTGTCTTTTATCATCGGTATTTAAAGAATGTTGCAGTATTCTAAGTAATTGTACCACAATCCTTATTTTACCAGAATAAGGCTTCCCTTTATTGCTTATTCCAATTGGGTTCTTTATCATACTTGTCGAAATTCACTTCCTCGTAAGAATAATACTGATACTCCCTTACAGGGAGCATTCTTAGCTCCAAATTCAAACTGCTTGTTTCCCAACCTGTTTAATCAATACACTCTCGTCTATATATTCTTCCGAAATCGTTTTCACAACTTGGTCGTGTTGTCAAGGCAACTTAGTTGGACCCACCTTATCCGAAGTTCTCTGCTATAATAGTTATGACTATTCCTACTTTTGGGCCGTGGACTTGATGCATTTCCAGACGCTTTGCCAGCATATTCGGGGAGTCTTGGCATCAAGCTACAACTCATCAAAGAGACAAGTCATTTCGTCGACCTACTTTCTGTAGAACTATCATGTTTTCACTCCTGTCCTCATACATCTACCTACTTAGCCTCCTATCTCGCTCTTTCATTATCACAATTTATGATTTATTATATTCGATTTATAGAGGTGTACTCTTTCTGTCGATTTTAGTGTTGCACATGCTTGTTTACGTGGCCATCGCTACCTCTCAATTTGCTGGAATTGCTGATGCTATTTGTACCTCATATCCGGATCTCCCTCATGGCCCTAGAGATTAATTTCTTATCTTACCAGTTGACCGATTCCACTTGGTTTCCGTGACAGTATACGCTTTACTCAATGCGCGATTTCTCATGGTCTGCCGCAATCCTTTGGTAGTACATATAGTTTGGCTTTACAGAGCAGAGCGCCTAAGCTCTCATTCCAATTCTTACATATATCATGTATTGTCTCGACGAGCGACATCTGTCATTTAACCCGTGTACCTTGAGAAAGCTGGGAAGGCCTATTTCATGTCTCCTGCTGGCTCCGACTTATCTATACTGCCAAATTCCTGTGACCACCAAGCCCCCAAAGTTGTGGTTGCTTCCTCGAGCAGACTACAATCACTAAAAACGTAAATTCTTGATCTCTGAGTATTCCTCACTCGCTTCCTTGCAGTTTATTTTCCTGTGATTAACGATAGGCTTTTGACGTATGCGTCCCTTTTTTTGCTCTTATCGTATCCTTGTTTGTTATGATTTTGCTTAAACAATAGTCAAAGTTATCGCTAACTCTACTTTATGATATCCTGTTCATTAAATTTCTTTTAGATATGATGTAGATAGCCTCCCTAATCTTCGGTTGACAATAGTCAAAGTTATCGCTAACTCTACTTTATGATATCCTGTTCATTAAATTTCTTTTAGATATGATGTAGATAGCCTCCCTAATCTTCGGTTGACTTGTGTTTTCTCCGCAGTAGTCCGTTCTTTTACTTTCCAATTAATCTCCCGTCCAATCTGTATAATACGTCCCAATATTTCTGATCTTTCGGCACATATTTTCATGTGGGGCCTTCGATTTTCCTTGATTCATTGCTGATTTTCTACCTGTTTCGCTAATTGATTTCTATTTGCAGACGCCGCATGTTATGCAGTATACTCGAGAGCAATCCTGTATGGGTTAACTTGTGATGAGTGCTGCTTTTTTACTCTGTAGTTTTGAGGGGACTACAAATTCAGTATTATTCCGGCATATGAGTTTTTTCTGAGCAATCTTCTTTTGAGTGTCCCATTCAAGCGAATGACTTTAATATCCAGGAAAGATAAACTCTCCTTTACTTCGATTATCAATTTGGTACTTTTATCATTCTGGTGTATCAAATATAGGAAATCATCTCATTTTTCTCTTCAATTTGCCCAAAGTGCGAAGTATCCATCCGAGCGTTGCATAAGCACTTCTGGTTGTAGGGGTGGCGTCTTTACATCCTCTTCTAATTTTTTCATGTATACGTCCGTCAAATGAGGTAAGAGCGGTGATTCTATAAGAAGTCCAAATTGCTCATAGATTTCACCGTTACTTGTAAAGTTGATTAGTCGTGCCTCCAAGTTATCCTTTTCTCGGTTCGGAAACTCCAGTTTGGCCATTAGCCCCTTTTTCCTAAAGATTTTTATGTATATACACTGTATACCGAATAACTATGATCTCTTTATTCATTTTACAGATAACGAAATGGCTTTATATTTATTTCCTAAACTTGTATTCGTTTAATCTTTCTCTTCATATTACTAGCTCCGGACTTTTTAAAATCAGTCATAGAAACACTTCCTGCACCATGTTAATTGTAAGTTACATAATGGAGGGTAAATGATTCGATAAATGCCAACTTTATACAGATAAGGCAGACACTACGAAAATAACAATCGTAAGATAATTGTCGATGTTTTTAATTACTTTAGCACATCCATTTTTATCCTACTTTGAGCCACTTTTTCTTTTAAACATTTCTGTTGACTAAATCTACGCATTTAAAGCTGCTAATACTACTCGATATAACACTGCCTGGAAGGCTTTGCTCATGAAATGTTTAGGTTACTATAGGTTTATTCGTTTTTCATTGACATAATTCATTTTCATGGTATACTTTTCACTATCAACTTGCTGCATATTCCTATAATCTTTCTATTCATTCGTTATTTTGAAACCATTTACATTTATAGTAACAGATCTTCTGCAGTCTACTCCATTCCCGACGCCTCCGAAATTCATCCGTTCGACTCTATACACC